GATGATCAGCCATGAACACATTGAATGGCAGAGGAAACTTGAAGGGCTGAATGGCCTACTCCAATGCCTATTTTCTATGTTTTTATGAATGAGGGAATCCTTGGGTAATAATAAACCCTGATATTTATAGTTATTTTGTTGCAAATGTTTAGTTCTGCAATTTGAGTAACTATTATTGTAATTAACATTTGGAACATAGCACAAATTGACTTTAAGAAAAGACTGGCTTAAATAGCATGGATGTTCATCAGACTTCTCAGCAATCTCAAGTTTACTGCTGGTCCTTCACTACATGACATTTACATGAAATTGTACAAAAAGTGCATTTTTTAAAAGGGATCAAATGTTACTTCAGCCATGCATTTTGCATGAAGTTTTGATCATCTATTGCCTATTCACTTTTAAGAACAATCAAGACCGACTGAACTATAATTGCAAATTAATAATAGTAACTATTCAAAACACTGTTGAATAGCTTTATTTGATTGTGCAAGAATTCAGGAAGGACTTCACCATTTGGAGCATGCAACTTTGTAGTAAGTTTCAGACATACAAAAAGGAGCTTCAAGATCCTAACTGAATTTTGGCAACTAGAGAACACCAAGTGGCCAGATGGACAGATCCAATTTTATTGAACTAATGAACACAAACATAGCATCGAAGAATTTAAATTTGCAATCACTTACACTACTACTGCAGCACTGATGTAACACAATTTTCCTTAATTATAACTACTGTTTTAGTCCAAATCCAGACATATTATCTCTAAAATAAAAATTCCTGAAGAACACCTTCACTTGGCTGTTTCCCAGAACTGTGAGCGATTAATTTAAGGTTTGTATTTTAATTTGAATTATATTTTTTGTTTCTGGGATGTGGGCAATATTGTCAAGGTAGTATTTATCATTCAGCCCTGGGTATGCTGAGCATAACAGAAACGATGCCTAGAATGTAACTTAAGTTGGTCAGAAAGTTACTATCCCTAAAAAAAAAATCCAGCAGTTTTCATGACCATTTTCTAGCATTAGTTCACAAGTTAACAGATATTTTTGAATTCAGTTTCACCAACTTGCTACCAAATGAGACTTGTGAAGCAAATGCAACCCTGATTTTGATTCTGTTTTATAGCTGTCAGCCTGTGGGTCAAGTTCTATTCCAGAAGCAAAGGAATGCCACAGTTTAAAAAAAAGCTGTTTCTTGGACAATATGTTAAACTGAAGCACATTTTGCCTTCCTGCAAATGCAAGAGCATGGTTGTTAACCAGACTTCTCAGCAACCTCAAGTTTACTGCTGGTCCTTCCTACATGTCATTTACGTGAAATTGTACCAAAAAAATGCATTTTCAAAAACAAGATCAAATGTAACTTCAGTCACGCACTGTGCATGAACCTATTCTATTATATTTTATACGAATTGATATATGAATGAAAGATCTTTTTATTATTGGGAGAATGGTTAAGCAGTGCTGTACTTAGAAAATAAGAAATAGTGATACATAGAAATAAAACTATAAAAGGAACCAACTTGAAAATGTAAAGTGTTGGTTCAGAACTTGCAGGTGAAGACAGGGAGAAGTTGGTCTATTCATGGGGAGAGATTAAAAATCTAAAAGGATAGAGACGACCCATTGGTAAACAATTGAGAAAATAAAAAACAGCAATTGTAAACATTCTCTAAGTTCTTTCATAGATATCAACTTTTCTTCCAGAGTTTTGCAACATCATGCGTTGTCCTCCTGTCTGTCTTCAAGTCTTCATTCATCACATCAACACAACAACAAAGTGAATCAACACTAAGGTATAGGAACTCCACCATGCTGGGCCAATGTATAATACTCAACCAATTCTCTTAATAAAATGAAGCTTACTTTTGAGAATGCTGCGGAATAGCTAGTGGAATACTTTCCAAATTTAATATGGCAAATATGATATAGTGTGACTATGTAAGTCAGTGATAATATAAGAACTGAAGTTACTCACAGGTGTTAAAAAGATGAACCACATCTTGGGCCAATTTGTGAGATTGCTACGCAAAAGATTGGATTTTAAATTTATAAGATTTTATTAGATACAAAATCCACATTAGTAAGGCAGTATATAGGCAAGGAAACAAGGCTGAGAGGAAATTTGACAGGGGGATTCAAAATCTGAGTGGCCTGGACACAATAGATATGGAGAAACTGCTCTCACTCATGAAAAGTTTAAAGAACAATAGCGTATAGATTAAAAGTAATTTGGCAAAAGAAGCAAACAAAACATTTGAAGAAACTTTTCATGCACTGAGTAGTTAAGGTCCGGAATGCACCGCCTGAGTGTGTGGTGGAAGCAGGTTTGAGTGAAGCATTCAAAAGGGAATTTGACTGTTATCTGAAAGTAACAACGTGCAGGGTTGCAGGGAGAACGGAACTAACCACACTGCTCATTTGAAGAGCTGGTGTCGACACAATGGGCCAAATATTCTCCTCCTCTAATTTAACAATTCTGGGATTCTATAAGTGCAGCTTAAAAGCAAATCCACACTCACTCTCAAGCTTCAATATAAATTTGTCATGTTATATTGAAATATCTTGCCTGCTTTTTAATAATTCATTTTGCTTCTTTTAAAATTTTAATTTTGAAAGATAATTATACAGAATCTCAAAGACCAGAAGAACAAAGAGAAAAATTAATGAGGGAAGAGAAAAACTGCAAACTAAAGTTACAATAGATAAGATTCAAAAGTAATGGATCAAAAGAGGATCTCAAAAAAAATCCAGTCTTCTGAATTATTTGCCTAGAATGAAACAGTTCTATCACAGTTACCTAATCAGGAGGAACAAACTCGCCAATCTGCCTTAAACTAAAGCTGTGAATGTTTTTCCATTTTGCCCCAACTCCCATAACTTTATATTTAGAGTAAAGATCAAATACCAAAGAATTATGTAGCAATGTTTAACAAGTCCATCACTCCAGTTACGTAAGGCACTGTAATTGCTATATAAATGCCATTTAAGCATTTATTAAAAATATGAAATCTTAGAATTTCATCAGGTTATTAATAGGAATTTAAAAAATGCAGTTTTAAGTTTGCAATCAGATCAGCCATGATCGTATTGAATGGCAGAGCAAGTTCAAGGGGCTAAGTGGCCCACTCTGCTCCTAATTCATGTCTGTATGATTCACCATCCTGAGAACCTCTTCATTGCTCAAACTCTCTCCAACTGACCATTTCCATCCTTCTCCAGAAGCAGATTTCACAGTTTTCTAGTCCACGTTTCACAGTCAATGTCATGTTTAAGCTCCACAAAACACTTCCAACGTCAAGCTCGAGTATCCTTTTCTTTGGATCTCTACTCACTCCCTGAGCAATTCTTTATATTTGATCTTTGCCATTGCTACTCTATCGCTGATTTATTTATGGCAGTAACCATCATATGACAAGTTGCTTCCCAGGTCCTTACATTATGAAGTCTGCTGCAGATGTTCACCAATCATTGTGACCTATACAGCACCGTTCCTGGATTTCTGGGATTAAGGCCTATTTGGTCTAGAATTTAGAAAGCTAAAGAGTGATCTGATCAAAGTCTTCAAGATATTAGCAGGAAAAGACAGGGTTGGGGATTGTAGGTCTAGGGGCCATAGTCTGAGCATTAGGGCCAGACTGCTCAGAAGAGACATTGGGAACCACTTCTACAAATGAAGGGTGGTAGAGTTTATAGCGCTCTTCCACAAACCACTGTGGGTGTTAGTTTAGTTGTTAATTTTAAATCTGAAGTAGATATTTTCTTTTAAAAGCATAAGTATTAAGGGATTTGGGACAAAAGCAGATCAGCCATGATCTCAACGAATGGCAGAACAGGCTCGAAGAACTGAATAGCCTACTGCTTTTCCTATGTACATCATTTTCTCCATGTTTCTTAATTTACATTCATTTCTATTCCATAAACTTGCATCACTTCATTCCTTCTTCTTGTTCGTATCCGGAGATCTTCTACTCTGCAAGCCACTAGGGCCCAGTCATCTGCAAATCACATGAAATGACCTCCTAATTCTACACTTTTTAAAAATCATGGCTTCACACAGATGGTGATCATTAACTGCCTTCTTTCACTCCACTCTCAATTACACGAGGTTTAATTTCACCAACACTTTGCTGTTTGTACCAGCCTTACAGAGATGATCATTCTTTGCCTTCAATCAACTCAAGATTGCCTTTAGCCAGTTTTGCCAGTTCACCCAGCTTTTTCATAATCCACAAAGCAGGTGTACACTTCTGCTGCTATTCTATACTTCTTTTGCTAAACAACACTTTTTATAGTATCTTGATTCACGTGATGACAATATTTTCAATCAAACATTCTCATTACAGCTACAGCATCACTAGCTCCACACAACCTTTCATAAAAGTGGACTGATCACAGCCTATGCACTAGCTTGGTTGGTTTTCAATCCATTTCTTAAGATCTTAAATATTACCTTGGATACAAAATTGTGGTGCAAAACACGTTTCACATTTTCGGGCAGCATTCAAGGATAGCAGTGCAACTTGAAACCTCAGTGGATGATTGCCCTGACGCAAATTGCCCAAGGATTTTTCTTGGGGGTGGGGGTCATGGCTAATGGCAAAACCAGAAAAGTTTCAATGATAGTAGAACAGCTAAATCCTCTAATGACAATGGCTGTTTAAAGGAAGAGAATCTTTCTGGGAGAGTTTTTTCTTTTAGCACACATACAAAAGTCAATGGAAAAATCACCTCCTGTATTCTCTTCTCTCATCAAACTGCTCACAACTGACACAACTCATCAGTCTAAGACAAATGACATTAACAGAACAATGTTCTTGCTCCACTAAAATGAAAGAAAGAACTGCAGATGCTGGAGATCTAAAACAAAAACAGAAAATGCTGGAGAAACTCACCAGATCTGGCAGCAGCAGAGGAAAGCAGAGTTAATGTTTTGAGTCTGGTGACTCTTCAGTGTTCTCCAGCAATTTCTGTTTTTGTTCTTGCTGCAGTGCCCAGCAAGGAAGGTTGACCTCCCAGGTTGCAAATATGAAATGCCTTACATAAAATTGGTTAGGACTGTGATGAGAAGGAGGAAGCTTGAAAAAGTCTAAATAAAAATGAAAAAAAGGTACAAACTGGACATTTGGAAAGTCTGACAGAAATGAAATGGATAGATTATAATGATTTTAAAAGGGATCATAGCAATTTTTAAGATGGTTAGCAAGGTCAAAGAGGCATTGCTATATGATGGAGAATGTAACAGCAAAATGTGAGATAATTGATCAAGACAGTGACAGACTATCATGTGTTGCACCATGCCAATCCAGTGGAGTTTTTTTCTAATTACAGCAGTATAAATGCCTACATCAGTGACTTTGCACTTATCTGAAAGAAAAGCTCAGGAACTTCGTTGCTATATGACCTGATTAGGTCAAGTTTCAATGAGCCAGCTTCAAAGGCTTACAACAGGTGTGTAGAAATTCACACAAAAAAACATTAATATTACCAATTTTAAAAAAAAGAAGCAAATCGCAAAACAGAAAGAGAGTACAACAACAAATGAGACAAAAGACTATGCCTTGAAGTTGTAATTTTAACATTTTTATGGCAGGTATTCGATACTCCTTCAACACCAATTCTGTGGAATTAACAGCAGCACTTGGTACCATTTACTTCAAACACAGAACAAGAATATTTAAGTTTCCCAGTACCAAAATCTTAGCCAAGCCAATTAGCAAAGCAATGAAAATGGAAAATGCTCAAAACATTCAGGAGGTTTGGCATTAGTGGAGAAATACTGAATGAATGTTTCAGGTTCATAAAGTACATCAGATTTTCAACCTAAGAATGTTAACTTTGCTTCTCTCACTGCAGATACTGCCAGACCTGCTAAGTATTTTAATTTTTTATTTCAAATTTGCAGCATATACAGTATTTTAGATTTGTACCAACTAGCAGAGCAACTTTCTGAAGGCGCATCATTGCTCTAGGAACAAGAAAAGGCTATTTAGCTCCCTGAACCTGTTCCAGGATCCAATGAGACCATGGCTGGTCTGTGACCTAACTCTGTGCAGACTATTTGCTCACATCCCTTCGATTAACAAAATCTAAATATCTAGATTTAAAATAAACTGATTTTGCATCAACTGTTGCTTGGCAGAAGAAAGTTTCACATGTCGTACAATTTTTGCATCTGGAAGTGCTTCTAAATCCTCAAAGGTCCAACTCTATAGTTGCAATTTGAGATTGCCCAACCTGTGGAAATACTTTCTACCCAGCTATCAACTCCCTTAATATTTTGAAAACCTAGATTAAATCATTGCTCAAACTTCCAAATTCCAGGAAATAAAAGCTCGTTTTTGGTAGTTTTGTCTCATAATCTGTTCGAATCCAGGTGTCATTCTGGTAAATCTATCTTCAAGGACAACATATCCTTCCTAAAGGGTGTTGCTCAGAATAGAACACTGTACCTCAGATGTAGGTAGAACAGAGCTTTGCAAAGCTATAGCATAAATAGCAAGGGAGTTCTCCCTTGTGTCCTGGGCAATATTTATACCTTAACCAATATTACAAAACCAGATCAAGTGCTCATTGTCATGTAATGTTGGGAGGGGGGCAGCTCTATTTTCCACATTACAACACTGACTACATTTCAAACGTACTCCACTGATTGTAAAGCACTTTGAGACTGTGGACATGAAAACACACAACATAAATACAACTTTTTTCCTTCATCCCCTGTATTCCAGTTCCCTACAGTACACTCAAATTGTTGAATATTTTCTGCACCTCATGATATTTTAACAAGGTACATGTTAAAAGTCTCTCTAGCCTTCTCCTGTCTCTAATGTAATCATGCCCATTCTTCATGTAAACATACTTAAAACAATTAAAGAATGACAAATGTTGAATAGCACACACCACTTTCACTTGCCAAATATGCAAAGGATTAACAATTGTTTCACTTAATCACTTCATCAAAATAAATTCAAACTTCAAACATTGACTGTACCATAAAATAGATTATTCAAAACATACATCACACCTATTTGCTACAAGGGTTTTGAAGGGTTAACAAATTTCACTACTGTACAATTTCTTAAAAAGGCATACACACACTGAACAGAGAAACAAGGCTTTATCACCATTTTAAAAAGTCCTCATTTAGTCAAAAGTATGCAAGATTTGAAAAGTGAAAGAATGGACGAACTAGGGCAAAATCATTGGAACTCAAGAGAAAAATGGAATAAGAAAATTTTAAGCAATGAGGTGGGGGGAGGAGCAGTTGAGTTAACTTTTCACCTCAAGCTTTTTGCAATAGCTAGAGTTGGTGATAATTAGAGCAAGGTAAAGGGGGCAGCTGGAGTTCACTTTTCACTTGCCTTTGATTTGCAAAACCAAAGCTGGGGTGATAGTTAAAAGCAAGGGAAAAATTACAAATTCACTCCTGTTTTGTAAAGCCAGAGTTAGGGAGAGTTAAAACAAGAGGGAAAGGTGTGGGGGTGGGGGCACAGTTAGAGTTCAATTTTCATTCCCAGTTTTTTCGTTTGCAAAGTCAAAACTAGGCTAAGTTAAAATGAGTGAGGTGGGAAGAACAGCTGGACTTCGCTTTTCACAAAGCCAGGGCTGAAGAGATAATTGAAGTAAGGGGGAACGGGGGTGGCCGAAGTTTACTTTTCACTCCCACTTTTTCTCTTTGCAAGTCCAGAACTGCGGTGGTAGTGGAAGCGAGGGGTTGACGGATAAAAGAGTATGCAATGTGCAATAGAAATAATACAAGTTGCAATGCACACGATTGCTATCCCCACAAAGGTTGCAGGCAGGCTCACCCAGACGGGGCATCACTGCCCCCAGGAACTGCTCATCCTCCTGGTAGTGATTCTCCTGCAGGGCCTCCAGCAGCTTGAGCAGGACATCCTGCGGCACTTTGCACCCCGTCCCCTTCAGCTCGGCAAAGCGGGTCAGGCGGAAATTTTTATCCAACTCATAGCTCTCCGGGTTGAACGTCTCCCTCACCGACATGATCGATAACTCATAGATGTTTGGCGTGCATAGACAGGTTTAAAAAAATAATAAAAAAGGAAATGTACACGTGTGTATTTTATATATTCACTCTCAACGCTTTAAAAAAGATGTCTCTTCTGTCGCCCTCCTCCTCCTGCTCTCCGCCGAACCTGTGTGCTGAGAGAGACATGGAGATGGTTAACAACAAGTTCCCGTGGCTGTTACAGGGTTAAAATGCTGCTTCTTTTATATTTTGCAGGCCGCTCTGAGGAAATTTTTTTTTCCCTTTTGGTTAACGGTCGCGGTTTAAATTTTTTAACCCTCGATGGTTCCAGTCGGTGCCTTACCTTCGATCAGCGCGCGCGCCTCGGCGGGCAACCCGAGCACCCACAATCCCACGCGCGGGAGTGTGGTGGGGGTGCGTGCACGCGCGGACACCAAACGCGCTCACCGCCGAGGTGCGGAACCGAGGCGCATGCGCGGAGTGCCGGAGGCCTCCAACAACCTAGACAGATCGACTAAGCCTATCCACATGCGCAAAGTGCCGGCAGCCGGCGATTTCCCTCCCCCATCGACCGGGCGAGTGACTGTGCGCATGAGTGCAGAGCCGGCGGTTTCCGGGTAAGGTAAAACCGACTGGGCCTGTGCGCAGGCGCTGACCCTGTTGCTCGCTGACTGGGAGCACGCAAGCGCAGCAGTGGGAAAAATGAAGCAGATGCCGTCGACCCGAGGCTGTGAGCTATTGCGCAGGCGTGGTTGACGGTGGCCGGCATCCCCGTGCACGCGCGCGGTAGGCAAACCAGGATTCATCGGCGGACGGCGCGAGCTCGCATTTCCCCTCCCCCCCACCCCCGCCACGCGCTTGTTAGTCTGCACGCCTTTCGGAGAACAAACTCATTCGGCGCTGGGACGCCGATGAGAGAGGAGGGTAGGTGATGTTGCTCCGAGCAATCTCCTCTTCAAACTGTCTCCTTTTTCAATTTTATGCTCTTATATTTTTGTGTGGAGTTGATGCCGATAAAGCGTGTGGTATACAGAGGGTGATTTTATTTCGGATGCCCGGACGACGGTATCCCGAAGTGGGCCAAATGGCGCCTTTTATTGCCATCCCCTTTAAGAAGTCATGGCGGAAAAAAATTAAAGGGATTGGCGGAGTTCAGTTGTAAGAAAAATAGAATCGCTTTCATGCAGATAAATAACGGTCCTTGGAGAATGGTACCCCTGCTTTCTCACACTTCTTCAGTCTAAAACCATATTAGATGTGGTTTTTGTCCCGTGTGTGGGCGCTAGACGCGACCTTTTTTTCGAGCAACTCCACGAGAGACGGTACCTGCACTCTTAAAGGGAACGTCCCTCCGTATCTGCGGAGGAAATGATTTCTTGTCGGCGCACTGTTTAAGGAGAAAAGATTAAAAACTGCCACCTCCTTTCCCACCAACCGCCCCCCCCCCCCAAACACCCGCCCAAAAGGCGGCAATAGACTCGATGTTAGTCGATTAAACTCTTTTTTTGTACTCCAGTTCATTGTCTTTAACTGAAGTTTGTTGTCGACTCTTGTTATGAACTACTGAGAAATTCTGCAACTGCCCAGGCACCTGCCTTGTTCAAGGGCAAATCGTGTATTTATTTACTTTTTGTAGTTTTTTTAATTAGGACCCGTTATTGTTTAGCAAGTATAATGTAGAAGCAACTACATGAGTTTTTAATTTGGTGATTTAATTCAACTGATTTCAAAGGATGTATTCGTCCAATGAAGCCAACAATTGTGTATGAATTTTTTTCTACGCATAACCTTGCGTTGCAAAGTTTTTTTTTAAACTTTAATGACAGTTGCCTTTTACGTGGTGCGTTCAATGTCGTAAGACATCCTGAGGTGCTTACTGATTATATCAATGAGACATTTTTGACACTAAAACGCAAGATGTTGTGGATGATGGAAATCTGAAAGATGAACAAAATGCTGGAGAAACTCAATAGGTCTGGTAGCGACTGTGGAGAGAGAAACGAAACGTTTCGAGTGTGACTGGGTCATGTTAAACTCGAAACATTGACTCTGTAACTATCTCTACATCAAAGTTTCCTCAGAATTTTATTTTTAAATCAGCTTTTTTTAAAAAAATTAGTTTAAACTGTAAGCCATTGAAGGAAAATCAGGACAGATGATCAGTAGCTTGATCAGAGAGAGAATTTTAGGAACATCACATAAGAGGGAGAGGAGGGTTTCCAGAGGGAATGCACAGCTTCAGGCTAAGACCACTGGAAATGTGTTTGCTAATGGTATAATTTGAAAATTGCAGGTATGTGAAAGAACAGAATTGGAGGAATACATACATGGCAGATTTAAAAGTAGTGCTGGGGAAATTCAGATCTGGCTGTGTGGGGAGAGAGAAACAGAATTGAGTCCAACATGACTCTAAGTACTAGTGGCAGATTGCCTCCTCCAGCCCAACAACATAGATAGGGAAGAGGTAAGAACACATTTAAAAATCAGATGAGGATTTAAAATTGTTATCATTAGTGGGGTGATTAGCAGAAGTCGAGTGGAGTGTTGAATAAATTTGAAATGAGTTAAGATGTCGGCAGCAGAAGTTTGGAATGGGTGGTAGATGGGAGCAGCCAGGAGAGCGTTATCTCAAAAACGATTATTACAATGGGTTTCTGCAGCATATGGACTGAGGAAACCCAAGAAACTTGTTCGTTCAGGATAAAGCCCGCTTGATTGTCACTAGCTCGACAAAAGATTCATTCCTTCCACTGCGCTCAGTCGCAGCAGTGTATAACGTCCACAAAATGAACTACAGAAATCCAGCAAGCGTCCTTGGGCAGCACTTTACAAACCCATGATCATTTCTATCTGGAAGGACAATGGTAGTAAATACATAGGACTACTACCACGTGCAAATTCGATCAAAGCTTTTCTCCATCCTGGCTTGGAAATGTATTGTCATTCCTTCAGTGTCGCTGGGTCAAAATCATAGAACTGCCTTCCCAACATAATACCTACATCAGTGGGCCTGAGCCCTATTCTTAAATGCAGCTCACCACCTCAAAGGCAATAAATACTGGCCCAGTCAGCAATGCTGACATCCTATGAATGAATTTTTAAAAACGCATTGGTTTAAATGAGCTGCATTGGCTGTCAATCCACAATTATTTCCATTTTTAAATTTTTCATTGTTGAATTGGAATTTCTCACTGGTTTTACCATCTTTTCTCTAACTTCTTCAAAAGGTCTACTCTTTCACTGTTGACCTGTTAGACACCCACAGTTTTAAGTCACTCGATCGTTGGTGGCTGTGCCTTCGGCTGCTTGGGCTCTGATGTCTGGAATTCCTCTACAATCTCCTTTAAGATACTTTTAAAACCTGACAGTGTCTCACGATGTCAACTTTGTTTGATAATATTCTTCTGAAGCGTCTTTGAATATTTACTGCGAATTGATATAAGGTCTACAAGACTTAGACCTAAATGATCTCAAGAGAAATGATATATTTAATTGGTATGTTTGGAGGAAGTGGTAAGACGTTGATCAACTATTTTATATACGGGAAGATATACCACTGTACACTTAGTGAAATATCTACATAGCTATCTTCCCCTTCCATTCAGAATGTTTACTTGCAGATTCTTCAGTGCCTTTGTCCTATCAAGAAGCAGGAATGTTAAAAATGACTCAGTAAAATAGTGATTATAGAAGGTGGTAATATGAGAGAAAACAGTGCTAAAGGACAACAAGTCAAATATCATTCGAAAGAAAATCTAGGTTATTGTCAGACTGGAATTCTTGATCCAACCTGATTCAGATTTGGAATTGCAGCAACTCAATATGCATAAATAGAGCTGTAATGTTTTTAATGACCTTGTTATCTTTGTTTACTTTCTTTTTTCTGCTTTTGCGGTTTGTATAGAATAAATATGTAAGACCAGTCTCCATTAGATGCACAAGATGGATATTAATTAAGATGCTACTTTCCATCAAAATATTTTTTACTTACAAACATATCACAGAAACTCATCTTTTGAAACTGTAACCCTCTCCTGATTTGAGCTGTTGAAAGATTGAGTAAATGATCAATGCTTTCACTTGCCACTTTCATTTTCCACTTTCCTATTGATGCAAATGGGAAAAGGCTTCTGTTGTAGTTTAATTCAGCAGCAGTGTGGTGAACCTTAAACATAATTATTATTGATCACACTTGAGAGTTATTGACTTTTTTTTAATCAAAAGATAATTGATTGTTTCTTTGCTTGGGGAGGGCGAAGCAAGGTGATGACATGCACAAATTATTTCGTTTTTGAATTCACCATGAATCCGTTGTGCTCTTGCAAGCATTTTCTTAAAGGTTTCTCTCTCAAACACGTTGCCTTCCTGAGAAGGTGGAAGTAGTGATGATTAATGAATTCAAAGGAAACTGGATGAGCAGTTAACAAAAATAAACTTGCAATGGGAATAGAGCAGAAAAATGGCAGTGTTGCTGTGCAGAGCATGGGCATTGACTTGAAAAACTGAATGACCTCCTTCCGTGTTGCACTGACTTTGTGGCTCTATAGTATCTAGCTGGGAACGGTACTTTCAAACGCTGAGATAAATTGATACTGTTTAAAAAAATCTAATATTGTACTTTTCATGTAGCAGTACTCTGCAGTATAATGGAACAATAATTCTTCCATTTTGAAGTTTTCAGGTTGTGAAATGGGAACGCTTTATTGACAAATGTCACCCGTAAAGGTGTATTTGGTATGTCTGTACCTGTAATCTGAAATATATATGTGGAAAATTAAAGAAGTGCCCAGAGATGAATAATTGTAGTGTGGTTATTTTGCTTTAAGGTCGAAATCAATATGCGCTCCCTAATTTTTCAAAACACTCAAATAACTTGAAAGGAGCTTGAAAAGATTCATTTTACTTTATATCAGAGGAGTATATTTTTGCAAGGTTCCTCTGGTTTATTGAGTAAATGGAATGCATGACTTCACTGATCTGTATCACTGTAGCAAATTTAACATCTAGCCTCTGCTATGATGGATCCTATAATCAAAAATAATACTGCGATGTTCTGCTCTTGTCCACTCTTTCAGTTGTAAAATTTATACAAGGTCCATCAAGTGATTTTCTTGTATTTCAGAAGCATAAATAGGAAGCAGAGTAATCCCTACACTTGCCACAATGGAGTGGGAAAAGCTTTCATTGAATGTGGTTAATGACATATTTAAACTGGTGGAAGGTTTCCCTCTATTGTTTACTTCACCCACTCAATGTTATGCCACATGTACCAATTCCAACTGTCTTTCCCCCAGCCAGTCACCAAACTTAAGTTTGCAACCCTGATTCTCAGAGTTCAAATTACTCAATGTTCTTCATCCAGGCTTCATTAACTCCTGTTTTCACAAACACCAACTCATCGAGAGGTCTGCAGGCTATATTTAACTCCAAGCTTAAATCATGCATTATCTCTCTCTCCTTGTTGATGTCCACTGATTCCCTGTCTCTTTCCCCCTCCCACCCTGAAAAAAATCAAATGAAAACTTGTTGCTATGAAACTGTGATTTTAGTTCAAACAGCAACAGAAAATGCAGAACATACTTGGCAGATTAGGTTGTACCTATGGCAAGAGAAACAGAGTTCAGGTTTTCAGTTCTTTACTCTTGATTTCCTGCATTGCAATTTACTACTTGTACAAATTAAGTTCATTCTGTCAATAATGCACCTCAAAGATTAATTAAAAATATGAAATAATTATGGACTATTTATTCAATTTTGGATTGAATCATTGGTGACAAAATATTTAAGTGAATTTTGTTTAAATGACTTTTTGTTTTGCTTTTGTTGTTCTAACTGTTCGACTAGAACAGTTCAAACTGTTTTCGTCCTACCTTCAGAGGAAATTTCTGGCCATCCTTTAGCAGCTCCTGATAATGGCACTCCTTAGACTGGTGCTGTTCTTACATGAAGCCAATCTGGCGCAAAGCCAATGTTCCTTTTTTCACTTTCAAGACATCCCATTATTAACAATTAGGAAACAGCATGAGGGGGAAAACAAAATTACCCAACAAAGATCAACCTTAAACATTGTTTTTCTAAAACTCATCTATTTTGCATTATAACCTTCAATATCCTGGAGGGAATAAAGTTATAGGTGAGGAGAAACCACCAAAGGGCGAAAGTAAATAACATCAACTCGAGTTGCTGTCATGCAAAATTGCAAGTGATTACTGATAAACGTTTGCATTTTGACTTATGCCTGTAAGCTTTGACATCATATTTTTTCCATTTAGGCAGGAGGTATGAGTTCACCTATGGAATGAAATCTTACACAAAGGTACTGTGTAGCCCTTTGCAAAGTTAAATTTAAAATGTTCCCAGGCGGTACTCTAAGAAAACACCAGTTACTTGGCACCTAACCATTGTAAGTAACTGGTTAAAGCAGCTTGTGGTAATAAGAGATCACATCCAAACTGCAGTGCAGAGTTTGCATCTGCACAGCAAAAAGCATTTTGCCTGAATGCAAACTTGTATAAGTGATGTATAACTATCGACTGTAATATTGATATTCACTCTTGCAGCTACTGTAGAGTTATGCTGAACAAAAAATATAGCTCTTGTTAAAGCAAAACTGTAAGGCATCATTTAGCAAAATAACGGATAAGCTAGATTTATGTAATTAAATAGTTATGTTTTGTTATGAACTAATCTTCATTTAGTTATATCTTAAAACTATTTAAGAGACAAAAACCAACTACAAATCTAAATAATAGTTCAAATTAAGTATCAAGGCCCTTTAAAATATTCACAATATTATTTTTCTGGAAAATTGCCATTCCCTTATTCCTAACTACGTGAAGTAGTATTTACAGGAGTGTAACAATAGAATCTACAGACACCTATTTGTGTAAACATTCTATTTTAACATATAAAACAGGTCTCAGGAATATATTTTAAAAAATGTATTTCCAGGAAACTGTGTGCGCTCATCAAACAGGGAATAAAATGGAATGGTGGTTTCCCCTTTTTGAAACTGAATGAAGCATCATTGGACACCTCATTAATAAATGGCACATTAACAAAAAAATCAATAACTTTATTTAATAATGAATACAAGAAATCAACAAAATGAATGTAGTACAAGGAAATCAAAATCCCAACAATCATTATCCAATTTTTTTTTTAAAAAATCAACAACAGTCAGCCAATGCACCAAAATTCACTGATGCCAATTTTTCCACTAGAGAAATTCAGACTATCAGATTCATTTGATAGTACAGCAAAATTGGCAAATGTAGAAAGCATCATTCCTATGATTTTGAACAGATTTGGCATTTGACACCAAATCAAATGCTGAACAGTTTAGCACATAACACATGATCTGATGTAGTTACCTATGTAGTAATGTAGATAATGAGAAACAAGTTACATTTGACAACCTCATTACATGTTTTGAGCAATGCTTCACTTCAAGAACAAATAAGACACTGGTCAAAAACAATTAATTCCATGCAACTGTATCCAAGACTATGACTGCCTCTGTAATCCTTTGTCTGTGGTCTTCAACGTGGCATGTTTAGGTACTCTGAAGTCCCTTGCTATAGTGAGTAATAAAAGCCTTTTTCAACACACTGGATCTTTGTCTGGTCACTCAGTGGATAAGGGTCAAAGGATAGCAGGGCAACTATCAGACCCTGGAAATTCCTCCAACAAACGTTTCATTTCAAGAACAAATAAAACACAGGTAAAATCACACTTCAGCTGATACCAACTCCCAGGAGAATTTATAGATAGTAAATACAGGTTGTTAATGAAACTATCTTAACTGTATATCTATGCAAATGTCTAGAAAATTGTTCAAGAAGTATTTTACAGTAAAAGTTCTATTTAATGCAGAACATTGTACACGGAGTGTTTATTACTTAAAGCCCATCGAGCATTTGACCAGAGGAAACAGACCTTCGATGTGAAATGCTAAACAGTTTAATGCTTCGACATTTTATCACAGGTGTGGTTCTAAAACACCACATCACTGAAGAGAAAACTGTCCAGCTTTACTTCAACAATGTATTCATTGTAGGTAAAGAGGTCACTTCTTGAAGATCTGCTAGTCTAAAGAGTATACCAAGCAACAAACCACATTGTTTTCAAGCCATTAGGTATATTCACGCCTTGGAACAGAACATGGAATAATTGGAACCTGTCTCTTTACATGAAGAGCAAATAGTTATGGAAAACGAATAACAGCTGGTCCTATGAAAAATTTGTCAGCCACTTGATGTAGATATGTCAGAAGTAATCTATGTAAATACTCATGCAACCAAATTTAAGCTGGATATGGGCACAGATGTCATAGTTATCGTGGACAATACTCCACAGTTAGCTAAGGTCAATATGTTACTATGTATATTTAAAACTGCGTGTGGCTGTAGGTATTGTACCTACAAATAAAAATTTAGAATCATACAGCACAGAAACAGACCCTTCAGTCCAACTGCATCTACGCCAACCAGACATCCCAATCTGACCCATTTGCCAGTGTTTGGTCCTCATATAGCTATCCACATAGTTTTTAATTGTACCCGACTCCTCCACTTTTTCTGGCAGCTCATTCCATACATGCACCACTTTCTGCGTGAAAAAAGTACCCCTCAGGTACCTTTTAAATCTTTCCCCTTTCACCTTAAACCTATGCCCTCTAGTTTTGGACTCCTCCACCCTGGGAAAAAGACCTTGGCTATTCACCCTATCTGTGTTCCTCGTGATTTTATAAACCTCTATAAGGACACCCGTAGCCTCTGACACTCCAAGGAAAAAAGCCCCAGCCTATTCAGCCACATGTTGTATTGATATTCAAAGATCACGTGTACGAGGAGGAAGTATACTTAATCAGTAACCAGCAATTTTTTCCATCGTGTTAGAAGGCATGTTACGCACACTGAAAAAATGTCTTTGAGCACCATACAAAGTTACTTTGACAGCTGATGTCAAACTATATGTCTCTTTACACTTAGGAAGATCACTCATCTACTAACATGAAAAGTAAAGAAACAACAATGGACAATATGGGTGTTATCTCCCCTGTGACAGAATGTTACTCAGGTATGGTCACAGTTCTCAAGTCCAGTGACTCCATTTGAATTTGTGTGGATCTCACACCATGTTGCTAGAGAAATACATCCTTGGTCAACATTTAATAAAAATCTGGCTATGCTTCCCACCTGTAAAATATTTCCAAAGCTGGATGCCAATAGTGAGTTTTGGCAGGACCTTCCAGTTGGGACATCTTGACTCCTCACAGCCTGTCATTGTCCCTTTGGTTGATACTCTTTCAATTGACTATCTTTCGGTATCATTTCTGCCTCAAAGTTTTCCAATGTACTATGCCCACCATTTTACAAGGGCTAGATGGTGTCTTATGCTGGTGATATCCTGATACATGCTCAAACTATTCAGTTTCATGGCTGGAGACAGCATAATGTCTTGAAATATATTCATGAAGCAGCCTTATGCTGAACGATAATTGTGAACTTTCTAGGGATTCCATTGGTTTCTTAGATCACATTGTAAGTAATGATGGGATGGAGGCTGATCCACAGAAAACTAAAGCAGTCAAAGACTCCCAGCTCCAACATTGGTTCATGATCTCCAATGATTTCTGGGCATGGTGAATTTATTGGCCAGGTTTTTAACCACACCTTGACTCTATTACCAAACCGTTGAAAACTCTCTTAAGGAAGTCACAAGCTTAGTATTGAGCAGCAATAGTAACAGATGACCTATCAGAACATTAAGGATATGCTAACCTCCATTACTGT